TAGTTCCTTTTTTACAACCTTTGTGGCAAGGTTTCCACAGCTTAATTACATGTTGCCTGAAGAGCCACATAACTTGTTTTCAACCTGCAGCATTATGAACACAGTTGTCACAGTGTCTGCATTGGTTCAGAGTTTCAGTGGGTTAAGTTCTCGTTACTATGAAAGAGGAATAATGCATTTACCTCTGGGAACCGTTTGATTGTAACTGCTTGCCTTGTCCTGTTCTGTGTAGCTTGAATGAGTGCTTTTCCCTTAAATTCATGGCTACAGCAAGAGACTCTCCTGCAGCTGGAGATACCTTTGTTTATCACAGATAGTCAATGAAGCTAAGCACTGAAAGGCTTTTTTTCTGGGTAACTAACGGCGTAGAGACTGGAGAGAAATAAGTTACCTGTATTTAATATTCACAAAAGATTGAATTCTAGCACTGTGTATCCTTTTCATGTATACATTTTTTCTTTTCATTATCAATAATTAAAAAAAATGTTTGAAGTACTGTAGAGACACTGAAGATGGGTGGCACACACTGAAGCTACTGTCAAGCACTCCTTGAATAGTAGCACAAGCATGCAACTAGTGAATTATGCTCTTAACTGCTGAGGCTGGAGAACAGGAACTGCCTTGGTTTAGGAAAGCATGCTTATATGACATACAGTTACTGGAGATGATGGAGGCAAAATGTTTCTCTCTCTCTTTTCTTGTCATGGGTTTCCAAGTATCGGTTTATTCCCTACTGTGTTAATGAAGATGGCAGCGAAGACAACAGCTTAACACACAGCAGTTTGTTTCAAAAATATGTTGGGAGAAATGTCAGTCAAGAAGGATTTGTGAAAACACAAAATGGGACCACTTTCAGGGTGGAATACATTCTCTGATAGTATTTTATCTGTATTCTAGAAGTTTTGGGTCATTCCAGCTCTTGAGTCTGTGCAGAAATTCACAGGGAAATAAAATATTCAGTGGGGGGAAAATAAAAATCCTGTCACCTGTTAACGCTGTAGATTGTCTGTGGGATTTGCTCTCTCTGATAGAGCTTGCAGATAGATAAAAGTTCATATGACATACAGCCAACTTGCAAAATATTTCTAATGTTTACATACATAGCAACATGTTTTCAGACTTCACTTCCTTAAAAAGAAGACAGTCATGGTGGAGATTGCCACTGAAGTTTAAATAATTTTTATAATGCTGTTGTAGAAAGGCTGGTGAATTGTGCTTAAGAAGTAGTTCATAAAACGAAAGCTAAATTAAAAAAAAAAGGAAGAATTAGACGACTTTTTAACATGGGGAATCGGCACACTTTGCTTGATAAAGGAAAAGTTAAAAATGGTGGATAACCAGAGAAGGATAAGAGATAGAGAGGAAAGGTATTATGCAATCATTATAGTTACATATTACTTTGAGGAAAGATTATAGATTACTACGTATTAAATATCAGGCCTTTAAAGATGAGAAAAACAGAACTGAGAGAAATCCTAC